TTTATTTTTTGTTTACTTTTTTATTTCTTATTATATTTTTGATTTTTTATTTTTAGAAATTTGATTTTCTTTTCTTACATTTTATATTTTTTCTTTTTCTTTTTCTTCTTTGCCTCCCTGTTTTTTTAGTTCTTCTTTAATTCCCCTTTCTTATTTTCCTTTTATTTATATTCTTTTTTTTCTTTCATTTCCTCACCTTCTTTTTCCTTTCTTTTTTCTTTCATTTTTTGACTTCTTTTGTATATGGTGTTTGATATTTTTCTGATTTTTCATGTCTTTTATTTTTTGTTTATTTTTACCTTTTATTTTTTTGTTTATTTTTGGAATTTTGGTTTTATTATTATTTTTTGACATTTTTATATATTTTTGACTTTTTTCTTCCCCTTTTTTCTAATTTCATGCTATCACTTTCTCTCGTTTCTTTTTTTATCATTTGTTTTTTCTTTTTCTATTTTTATTTGTTTTATTGTATTTATTATTCTCTTTTACTCTTTACTTATTACTTATTTATTATTCTTTTTTAGATTTGTATTCTTGATCGACTTTTTATTTTATTTTTCATTTTTGATTTTTTAATTTTCTATAATTAGCTTTTCTTGTCTTCTAATTAATGATCTGAAAGGAATATGGCTAATCCTTCCCATTTAATAATTTTCTTTTCTTTTTCTTTCTTTTGCTTTCTCTTTTTTCTTTCTTTTTCTTTTATTTTTATATCTTTTAGACTTTTTACTTATTATAAATTTGTACTATTTGTTTATTATATTTTTTTGGATTTTTAATTCTTGATATTTTTAATTTTTTTATATATTTGTGATATGATTAATTTTTCTTAATTAACCAAAATAAATATTGTAATTTTTTATTTAAATGATTTTGTTTTTTCTTATTCTTTTTCTCTTTTCCTTCTTTTTTCCTTTTCCTTTTCCTTTTCCTTTTTCTTTTTCTTTTTTTTTGTCTTTTTTCTTTTTCTTTCTTTTATTTGTTCTTTCTCTTTTTTCTTTCCTTTTTATATTTCTATTTCTCTTAATTTCTTAATTTTTATTTTTCTTATATTTGTTATTTTTAATTTTTTTATATTATAATTTTTTGGCTCTTAATTTTGTTTATTTATTGACACTTTATTTTATTTTTTGATTTGTTTAAAAATTTGTTATTTTATTTTTTCACCTTTTGTTTTCTTTATATTTTTATATTTTTCTTTTTCTTTTTCTTCTTTAAAAACTTCACCTTTATTTTTTTGGATTTTTTTCTTGATTATTTTTGTTTTTGTTTTTTTTTTTTATTTTTTGTGTATTTTTGCTATTGTGGCTTTTCTCATATTGTTTAATAACAAATTTTTCTAATCTTTCATACCCATTTTTATTTCATTTGTTATTATTATTATTTTTATGATTTTTATTTATTACTAAATATTTGTTTTAATTTTTTATTTTATGTTTTATGAATTTATATATTTTTATTTTTATTGGACTCTTGATGTTTTATTTGTTTTCTGATTTTTTTTATTTTATATGGGCCCCACAAGGGGCATGCAAGCATACAAATCTGAGGGGGCTGACATGTGTAATGTGATGCATGAGGGGAGGGTTTGACACCTAGACTCAGGGCTCCAACAAGGTTTCCAATCTTCAAATCTCCACCCACTAGAAAAATGGGCTTCTCTGGTTAGTTACTAGTTCAATGCATTCAATGTGACTATTGGGAGTGTGAGTGAGCATATAAGCAATAAAAGAAATAAAGCAATAAACAATTATCTAATAATCATAAAAAATTAATCAGTTATTATTATAACAAAAATAACATAGAAGCATGCATATATATATAAAGCAACAATCAAGAAAAACGGGCTCCACCTATTGTCCAAGAACTTTCTAGTGGAGTCGCCAATCTGTGAACATCGGGAAATGGCTCAATTGGGCTAATTTAGAGTTGCCACCCATCATTTGAAGGAAATGGAGGTGATGGGTCCTTTGTGAATGACATCAGAAAATGGTTTTGTATTTATAGTGACTCTAAAGACTAAAATATTGACTAACCAATCCAGGTAAGACTTGGATGGGTGAGGGAAGGGGTTAGACACCCATCTCCCAAACATTTAGAGATGATTTCCAACTAGTTTAATGGCTTACTAGAAGAGGAAAAAGCCATTAGAGCTTCAAATGATCAGAAAATCGAGACTTGATGAAAGCAACCGTGTGCAATAATTGACTATTGAGCTTTAATGGTCGACTCTTTCAACTATTAGAGTTTAAACTCTTTAATAGACTCTACTAGTAGTTGACTACCAAAGCCTGATAGCCAACTAATGTAGTAAGGAATCTTTTTTCTCTGGTAGTCGACTATCACCATTTAGTAGTTGCCTAATAAGTGCTACTGGGTTTGACAATCACAGCTAGTTGATTGCTACCTTTCAGATATTTAACTACTAAGGACAGTCTTACCTGCTAGTAGTCAATTCTTTAAGGCTAGGGAGTTGACTCCAAGTCCCCAAACTTGATTTATTGACCTTTTCACTTAAGTTAAGCTCCAAGAAAAACTTAAAGCCCTTCCTAGCTTAATCATTAGTACTTAAGCCCTTGAATTTGATTTCATTAAATTCTTTGAGAGGAATTTTGAATTTGATTACTTCATTTTCTTTATGAGAGAATCCTTTCAAACACATACGTATGTGTTAGGCTAACAATGGATTGAAAATATTGATAAGTGTAATATTTTAGTTATAAAATCAACTGAGTAAAGTTGAATATATTTATATTTGAATCTAACCAGTATAAATGAATTTATTGGATAATAAATAAATGGGTTAAATTTGGCTTGACCAACATAAAAATGGATTGGACAACGATTTTATCTAATGGATCCACTAAAATCTGAATCTAGATTATTGATCAAGCTGCAAGGCCTAGTGGCAACAATTTCGATGGATGTCACAACTCCTTTAATGTCTCTATGATATTGAATCTAATCATTTGAAACATTGTGACACCAATCCATATATCAAAGGGATTACTTATATTTATAAACAAAATTCTCTTAAATTTTTGCATTTTTCTCTAATTTTTGAAAAATCAAAAAACATCAAGAATGTGGTTGTTTGAATTTACTCACAACCAATTCAATTTCCTATTTATTAATTAGGAAAATGAATCCAATCACTCCCTTATAAAACACAGACATCTTCTAACATCAGCCCGTGAATTGAAGCACAACACAGTTCTCTTCTGGTTATGATTTTACATAAAAAACTAGCGGAGCCCGTGCAATGCATGGAAAAACCCGTTATGGTAGAAGAAATTAAGGCTGTGTTTGGTTTCAAGGAAAAAGTAGAAAAAGGAAAGGAAAGGTAGGGAAACCCATGCAAGGTACCCCACCTTTTCCTTCCTTTCCCTACCTTTTCCTTCAAACCAAACATACATAGCCTAAGGGGAAATGTAAACCTTACAATCTTACATCATTTAACTGAAGAAAAAACTAATGAAAGAAACCATAAATTAATGTAATTAAATCAGCAAATAAATCCACTTAATATTTATAAGAAATATAAAAGTTCATAACAAATACTACACATAAAGCTTCTTAGTGGCATTGGAGCCCTATGATATTTTCCATTAAATCAAAGCTGATATAAAGTTAAATTATTTTTGTTATTTATTATATTTTTATTAATTAATATATGCTTACAATGATCATGGTTTCTTGGCTATTAATAATACAATTTGACCTGATAAATCGATCAAATGGATGGTTTGAATTTCATTAATAGTTTCTAGTTCAAAATTTTTCCATTGAGCTGCATTTGGTATATGTTTGGCATCAATGCTGCATATACAGCACCGTCATATGGGTTGGAAACACCGTTTTCTAAAAAAATGGTGTCTTTTTTTAGTTTGGAAACATTGCTGCCAGGTAGGAGGTTTCTTGGGCAACAACAACACCTTCTATTTGGTATCAGTGCACATATTTGTTTTCAGCATTGGTACCCATTATAGGAAGTCCACGTCACTGCCACATCATATCCTCATTGGCAGCAATGAGCTCCAAATTGAGAAAACATTGAATTCGACATTTCCTTAGACTACGCCTTTTTGATTTCCAAGGTGTGGTTTGGAGCACCATTTTTTATGGAAAAACGGTTCTAAACATGTTATCGTTTTCTGGATCACCGGTTTTTCCAATGTGATACTGATGTGTCACTGTTTTTTTGGAGCAACGACATTGATAAACACCGCCTTGGTTGAAGTGCAATTTTATTTGCACTAGTGCAAAATTCATGGGAGTTCAAATGAAAAAAAAAATGGAAATTCTCATTTAATTTTGTTTTGGGTTTTACTTTATTCTGCTTCATCTTTTAGTTTGCTTCATTTGTACCACAATCAAACCAAAAAACTAAAATTTAAAACAAAAAATAGACCAGAATTTACACTCAATTCATTTGCTGATTTTGCATCAATACAAATTTATTTGCATTGCAACCAAATACAGCCTTACCGACAATTTTTTTGTGTATCTTCATTGAAGAATGCTTAATTAGGTCTTGATATATAAAACACTATTATGAGCAATCCACAGTTCCACACTTCCTCTATGATTACAAGTGATAATTCTCTCTCTCACACACACGCATAAAAATTGGAAACAAGTCTCAAAAAGCATGAGCGCAGTGTGCTATTGAGGTGTCAATTGTCAGACTTAAAACCATCAATAGATCATCCCCCCCTTCGATTGGGTTCTAGATTCCAATCTAAAGAGTAAACCAAATCTCCAATAACCCATTTCTCTCACACCACTAATAAAAAATTACTCTTGCTAATTTTGACCTAATCGGTATCTATTCTCATGCACTTCATCTCTATCTCTCAAAGGCATTTTATGTAATTATCAACCATTTCCAGTGCCACTCACCGCTATTAACACAGTCATCAGGCCCATCACATAAGGAAATAAATAGTAACCTTTTAAACTCCACCCTCTAAAGTCCAAAACCCACTCCCTATTTTTAAGCTCTCAAACTTTCCCTTCCTCCATTCCATATTTCCATTTCTCTCTCTCTCTCTCTCCGACTCACAACGCTTCTTCTGCATTCTCCTAATACTAAAAAGAAAAAGAAAAGATAAAAGAAAGAAAAGGCCACACTCTCTCTCTTTCTCTCTCTAGAACATCACATCACAGAAACAATCTTTCTCCGGAATGGAGGAGTCTCTAAGGAAGCTTGCTCTCTGGTATACCAAGACGTTCAAGCCCATCATGACCCACGACGAGTTGGAGCCAATCATGACCACCCTCGGCTTCGTTGGCCTCCCCTTGTCATCCTCTCCGGCCGCCTGCACCGGCGGCGTTGCCTGGAAAGAGTACGTCTATTCCGCTGGTGGGTGCCGGAACCCATCACCGACCGAGCCGCTGCCCCGGCCACGGCTGCCCTACCCGAGGATCGATGGCCTTCACACCTACACCTATCGTGCGTTCATCGATGCCGTCACCTTTTACATTGGGAACGGTGATATTGGGAACGATATCTCTGATATCTTCCATATTAGGTCCGTGTTTTGCTCTCTCTGTTATTCTTTCTCTCGTGGCTTTCTTTTTTTATTAAAATTTCTTTATTTTTTCATTGATTTTGATGCAATGATGCGGGGAGAAATGCTTCTATTTTTGTGTTTAATTACGTGGGTACCACTGAGTTGCCCTTGTCATTATTTATTTATTTATTTTTAAATCAGAGATCTTTTGAATTTTGATTCGATTGGTGGGTATTATTTGGAATTTGGAAATTGGAATACTGGGCTGGGCTTAAGGGCCCTTGTTCATGGGCTTGGGCTTTAGATTTCAGAACTGTTTGTTTTCTATTTTTGGTTCTCTCCGTGCAAATAAATGGAAGCAGAAAGAGAGGCCCAATCAAAGGTGGGACTGTGACATGAGGCAAGTTGTGGGCCCAAGCCCAAACTACTTATGGGGCCCCCTCTCTCTAGAAACTCGTTGTCGGCAAATTTCAGTTAGAATTCATGCTGGGCCCCAAGGGACACAAAGATGGGTACTGGCCACAAATGTTTGCCACGTGTGTTAGTGTTAGGTTAGACCTTGGAAAGGAGCTTGCCGTTTCTAAAGCTAAAACTTCCGAATTGATCTTAACAAGGGACCCACCGCCCACGCATGAGGGTGAGCTTTTCACCGCTGGATTAGTGTCAGATAGGACGGTTGACAGTAGGTGCAAAGTAGATTCCAATCAGATGTCAGAAAAGTTTCTTCTCATGTGAGGGCTCCCTTAATAGTTAGCTAAGTAATTAGGCCTCCAGTTCTACAATATAGTCGCATAACTGGTTAATCACCATTAAAATGAATGAAATCCCTATTTTGTGTCTCTATTTTAAGGAAATTTACTGAAAATACCCCCAAATAGAAAGAAAAAAAGCTACTGTGGCTGTGGGTCCCTTGTTAATATGTGATGCATATTAATATTTTATATTTTATACCGAAAATACCCTCACCCAGTCTCTGTTTGGGTCAAACTGGGTTTTACACTTTTACCCTATATAAAACATAGAATTTTTTTATTAATATTTTTATATTTTAATCTCTCTCTGTGCTGGTTAATGGTTGCGTTACATGGAAGAAAGTGCCTACTGTGTCAGTAAGATACTCCGTGTCTCCGGTACTCTCGGGTTTTTACTGCACTATTTGATGGGGGGACCCACCTATGAAAAGATCAGTCAATCCAATCTCTAATGGCAGATATATACCGTTTTTGTATTTCTTGTACTACTTATAGTTGCATCTGACACCATCTATCTAGAACCTTATGCATGGGGTCCATTGGATCAAGTGGTGAGACTGAGACCCACATGAATCGTAGCACTGTCAAGTGTCAATGATCCATCCGACCCAAACCAACGGATCCGATTTGTATGGTCTGGGTCTGCATTATGTGTCAATCTAACAAATAACCAAGTTTAGTGTTAAAAGACCAAATAGTCCCCGTTTATGGAGCGGATCTGAATGGATCCGACCCGACCCATTGACAGCACTACGAGTAGCTGAACTGATATAATGTTCCGGCTTTGGTGTAAATATAAGGTGTATGAAGTATGAAGCAACGTTCGGGTTAGATCTTTATGTAGAGTTGGCACATATGTGGCACGTGCGAGCTTGGGGTCCAGAATCATGTAGGTCCCACTAACCTGCTCTACACCAATATAGATAAAAGTTGTGTGATAAATTAGATGTTTGGCAGCACAAGCACAACTAGCCCATTCATCCTACTTTCTTCATTGGCTGGCTTCAGCTTGTTTAGGTTCTGTTTGGTTGCTAAGTAGTAACTTCAGTTTGCAACCCCCGTTCTTATTGAAAGAAAGAGAAAAAGAGAAAGAGAGAAGAAGAGATTGGCTTGGTCTGATTTAGAGGAGGAAAACCAATCAAACCAAAACTGTAGGCTGTGTTTGGTTGCATTGCAAGTATGATAGTGCAAATGATTTGGATGCAAATTCTGATTTGTTTTTGTTTTAAATTTCAACTTATTTTGTTTGATTGCAATACAAATAAAATAAAATTAAACCTGAATTTGCATTTTATTCATACACTCCCTTGCATTTGCACTAGTGCAAATAAAATTACACCGCAACCAAATGCAGCCGTATGGATTACATGAATCCTGATTTGTTCAACTGTATGGGATTTTCTCATAATTAATTTCTTGGTAATTTTATGGTTGAATCAGATTGTATTGTTTGTGTTTTTTTCAGGGGCATGCCACTCCATCGAATTTACGACCGGCCCTTCGATAAAAAGTTCAGGCGATTGGATGAGGAGGAAAGCATCTATGTTTTCAGAGAGGGAACTCTGGATCAAGCAACATTTTTAGTATATGATAACAAGAATAACAATGTCAGCATCTACAGAAGCAACAATGTCATCATCCATAGCAAAGCCAACAATACTGGCATATGCAATCTAGTTCCATTGAAGGATATCATAGTTTGATCTCTTCAAATTCCCCCTCAAGAAAAAAGAAAAAAAAAACCCAAAATTTTGGTAGTTAAATTTTGATAAACCTTGACCTAAAGGTCTGAGATGTATCTCTTATTTAATGAGAATAGGTTTTACTAATGTATCTATAATTTAGGTTGTATTTGGTATCATTGTTGTTTTTACAAAAAAGTTGGGGTTTATCGATATAACTTTTCGAGAAACTATCTTGTCACATCACATCAGATAACCACTTCCACTGAAAAAAATGCATGCAATGGATTGGTGTTGGCATTTATCGTGGAAACATCAAATTTGGCGTTTCATGAACAAGTGACAATAGTATCAGCATTTAATACTAAAAATGATGATTTTACGTAACATCTCAAGTCTACTGGTTTCTTCTTCTAACGCTATTATATCGGCTTCCAATGATGATATTCTCCCAAAGGATGAGTGGTGTAGATCCCTGGTTTTTAAGGTCATCACTGATAAAACTTTACGAGTACCCGGTTTACGGGAAATGATCTGTAAATCGTGGAAAATTAAAGATTCTGCCGTTACGGAGTTTGGCTCCTCTTCCTTCATGGTACGTTTTCCATCATCCTTTGACCGAGATCAGATATGTGGAAAAGGTCCATGGTTATTTGAAAATGGTTTGTTAGTCCTTCACAAGGCTGAACCCAACGTTCAACCGGAAGATTACCAATTTACTACAACAAATGTTTGGGTTCATCTTATTGGACTGCCAGTGGCTTATCTGAATGTTAATGTTGTCAAGAAGGTGGCTTCTGCTCTGGGTACTCCTTACGAGCTTGCAAAAAACGAGGATCAGAAATGGAGCTAGTTTGTTCGTATTAAGGTTGCCATCGACATCAGTAAATCTCTCCGTCAATCGGTTCCCTTCAAACTTTTAAATGGGAATATCATTCAGGTCGATATACAGTATGAACGTCTCCCTCGTTTTTGCACTTTTTGTGGCTTAATTGGTCATGAACGTCGGATCTCTAATGCTCTGGTTGATTGAATTACTAAGAATATCAAAGTTTCTTCTCCTTCAAAATCTGCGTCCAGTATTAAGCTTGGGTCTAAGGTTTCTTCTCCCCCTAAAATCGACCAGGGTTTACATCCTGCCTCGCCGGTGGATGAGTTACAGAACCCAGACTCTTCGACTTCTCTTGCCCCTCATGCTGGGGACGTTGAAAATACTCAACTGTCTTTGGGAGCCGAAAAGGTGGTGGATTGGGGGCTCACGTACAACCTTTCCCATGCAGGTCTGGGCGGTGGTGGGTCTTTAGTTCCCAGTATGGACGTGGCTCCAAATTCTAAGTTATCTCAATCAAACTGTTGTAAGACTACCCTCTTCTTGGATTCCTCTCTCGAGGCTGTGGAGATCTCCAATGACTGTTCTCGGCCCCCTGTGGTGGCTGATGTGGGAAGCCGAATTGTTTCTGATCCTAATGCTCAAGTCTCCACTTCTGACGTGCCTAGGCTTATGAAACAGACCCGAGTTGGGCCCCCATCAGATGTTCTAGACTTGGACGAGATGGCTGTGGTGGCAGGGCCCAATCTGCCCCACCAGGAACCGTGAGAATTCTTGTTTGGAACTGTCAAGGTGCTGGGGGTTGTCTGACAGTTCCATTCTTTCAAAGACTCCTCCGTAAACACAACCCAGATATTTTCTTCATTTGTGAAACAAAGAATGGCCTTAATCGTTCAAAATCTCTTCTTCGGTGGTTCTCCAACTTTAATATTGAAATTATCCCGGCTCGGGGATGCTCTGGAGGGCTCTTGTTTGGTTGGTCCAACAATATTTCCATTGATTTCATTAAGATTACTGAGAATGTAGTGCTTTGCTCTATCCTCAATATGCCTCATTATTGTAGATGGGACCTTCTTTGTTACTATGTTCACTCTTCATCCTTGGTCCGACAAAAATTTGTAAACGAGATCATCTCCTATGCTTTTTCGACTGATAGACCGTGGTGTTTGTGTGGTGAATTGAACATGATTCACTCTAATTCTGAGAAATCAGGGGGTAGAGGCCTTACGGATTCGGACCTTGGTTCTCTGGACTCCCTAATTAATTGGAGCTTTGAAGGGGATAGGCGTACCAAATTTTTTCATATATCGGCCTCCAATAGAAGGAGGAGAAATGCAATCCACTGGAACATGGACCTCATCTAATCCGGACTTGTTGGATTTTAATGTCCAGTCCATTTCTGATGATGACAACATTTCATTGTCGAAAATCCCAGATGAGTTGGAAAGCTCCTGGGCCTGATGGTTTTCCTGCTGGCGTCTTCCAGCACTGTTGGGAGGCGTTAAAAGCTGAAATTATTCCCTGGGTGCAAAGTATTTTTCGAAATCCTTCCAACATTAAAGAGGTAAATGCTACTTATCTATGTTTAATCCCAAAAAAAGATTCTGTGGAAGGCCCCAATGATTTCAGACCCATTGGGCTGAGCAATGTGCTATATAAACTTATAGTCAAAATCATCACAAACAGGCTAAAGCCACTTCTTTCGAAGATTATTTCCCCATTTCAGTGTGCCTTTGCATTGGGGAGGAACACTTTGGATAATTCTATTATTGTGTGCAGGAGGTTCTCCATTCCATGCTTAAAATTGATTTATCAAAAGCTTATGACCGTATTGAGTGGGCTTTTCTCCTAAAAACTCTAAAATGTTTTGGATTCTCTAAGGACTTCTGTAATCTGGTTTTCTAGTGCATTTCTTCCCTATTCTTATTAACGGTTGTCTAAGCAAATGGTTTTTCCCTACTTGAGGTCTTAGACAGGGGTGCCCCCTGTCCCCTTACCTATTTATTATTGGTACTAAAGTTCTTTCTAGAATGCTGGAAGCAAAATGTTCACAAAGTTTAATTCATGGGTTCAGATTTGGTAATTCTGGAGTAAAACTTACACATTTACTCTTTGCTGACGATCTTGTCATATTCGGTAGGTGGTGTGCTCTTCTGATGCAGAAAATATTTTGGATGTTCTTTACTCCTTCTGCAAATTGTCAGGGCAGGATATAAATTTCCAAAAATTAGCTATCCATTTCAGTGGTAACACTCAAAGAAGAAGAAGATCCATCATTCTTTCGACCTTTGGTGTTACCTTTCTGAAGGTGAATGATAAATATCTTGGTGGGCCCTTGCTTATGGGTAGAGCTAAAGTATTGGAATGGAAGTTCTTAGTCAAAAAACTAAGGTCCAAGCTAGCGGGTTGGAAGAAGTGTATTCTCTCTCATGCTGGCAGATCTGTTCTTATTAAGTCCACTTTTCAAACTGCTCCCCAATATATCATGCAGACCTATCTCCTTCCAAAGAAAACATGTTCGGAGATGAATAATATCTGCAGAAATTTCTGGTGGTCTGACTCTGAGAATGCTGGTCTTCATCTTAGAAAGTGGTCATTATTGTTTTGTAGACCAAAAGCCTCTGGTGGGCTGGGCTTTCGTGATTTTGAGTTAGCCAATAAAGCCCATATCATGAAGCTTTGTGGGCTAAAGTCCTCCGTACTAAATACTCCAGGTCCTCCAACTTCTGGGAATTAAAACCAAAACTAGGGATATCCTACATATGGCGAGGTATTCTTGCTTGCAGATCCCATCTTCGCAAAGGGTGTCGTTTGATAATTGGTAATGGGTGGAGAGTTGATGCCTTATCCGATCCCTGGCTTTCTAGTGTTGTGGATCTTTCCGTCCGGCCCCATAGAAAGCCTCCTATGAAAGTGGCGGATCTTATCAATCATCAACCAATGACTTGGAACCAAGCTCTGATTAACCACATCTTTCAGCCAGATGCTGCACAAGAGATTCTCTCCTTGGCTCTCCCATTACATAGTAATGCCATGGAGGGTCAACTTATTTGGTCTCTTACTCCCCCTGGGCAGTTCACCACCTCTTCAACATATAGACTTCTGGCTTCGGACCTGCCTTGTCCCTCTAATGCAAACTTTCTATATGGTGAATGCGAATGGTAAAAATTTTGGAAACTCAAATGGATCAGCCCTAAGATCATGATCTTTATCTAGAGTGCCTTAAATGATGTGATCCCCACAAGGAATAAGTTGAAGTTTTGGAGGCCCAATTTTGACTCTTGTTGCCCACTTTGCTTGTCTGAGGAGGAATCGGTCGATCACTTATTCCTCTTCTGCCCAATTGCAAAAGCAGTCTGGTTTGGGTTTCTGTTCTGATCTGTTCAAGCATTTCCCTGAGATGATCTCTTTTTGGATTTCCCCAGGATCAGCTTCTCTCTCCTCCCCTCATCCCTCTTACTCATTGGCATTCTCAATCATCTGGCATCTTTGGTTGGCTCACAATGTAGTTATTTTTTGTGGAGTTGTATGGCCTCCTAAATTGATTATCTGTAAAGCCTGGGAATCATCTGTTGGGTCTTTGGATGGTGTCTGTCCAACTTCTCATAACCCTTCAAGTATTCTTGCCCCAGTCCCTCCTTGCAGATGGAGTAAGCCTATGGCTGGTCTGGTGAAGATTAATTTTGGTGGTGCAACCTCTCCTGTTCATGCAAGTGCTGACTGTATCATCAGGGAGCATTGTGGAAACTTGATCTATGCCCGCGTGGTCCCTTTTTTCTCGTGTCCTGCTCTGGAATCTGAAGCCCGTGCTCTGCTGGAAAGTCTCCTTTTTGTTATATCCTATGGAATTTCCAAAGTTGTTTTTGAGGGTGATTGTGCTACTCTGATCAACTTCTTGTTGGAGGATAATGGTATCCCTCCGTAGAGTGTGACTACACTCTTTCTCAGTTGCAAGAATATACTTAATCATCACCCGAAGTTCTCAGTAGTCTTCTCTCCTAGATTGACTAATAAGGCGGCTCATGCATTGGCTCAGTTTGGTTTGTCATGTAATTCATCCTTTACCTGGTCCTCTGCTCCCTTGTTTTTAAAGAAGATTGTACTTGCTGATTCTACTGAGTACTCTAATGAATATTAGGCTTCTTTGCCTTTTATCATAAAAAAAAAAAAGTTTATAGTAGAATCAACAATGATACCAAACGTACAACTTTAATTAGCTTTTGTTAACATGACTTTGGTTGGTAGCTAGAGTTGTTTTAAAACAATAGATATATAAGGCTAAGGCTGCAAATGATATATGTTTGCCCGGGTTCAAAATTTATCATTTGCAGCCTTAGCCTTAGCCTTTGATAAAACAGTAGATATATAAATTTTGAATCCAAAATTTATCAAAGACTTGATCCATTGGTAATGGGACTTCATTGAGAAAGTCTTTGATAAGTTTGGATTCCATTACCAATGGATCAAGTGGGTAATGGAATGTATTAGATCTATCTCTTTCTAAATCCTTATTAATGGTTCCCCCACCCGGCAAGTGTAAGCTTCTAGAGGCATCAGGCATGGGGACCCGCTTTCCCCTTATAATTTTGTTCTGTGTGTTGAGGCTATGGCTTGTAAGCTCGATAAAGGAAGCCAACTCTGGGGATAAGCTTGTGTGATGTGCAATTTCAAGAGGTGGTCCTAGAGTCCCAATTTTACAATTTGCTGATGATTGCATTATTTTGGCTAAAACCTCTATTGATGTTTGTTTAAAAATTAAAGAAATTGTGGAAAAATTGTTGTAGCATCTGGACAATCCCCAAACTACAATACAATAAATCAATTATTAACTTTTCAAAAAATATTCCCATTTGACTATAGAGAATCATGTCGAGGATCCCTTAAGACCCCCCCTGAAACCAAGAGTAAAAAAAATACTTGGGGGCTCCAATTATTGAGGGGAGAGTCACTAAAGAGCTATTTAAATTTCTCAGTATTGAAAAAATGTCTAAAAAGCTAGCTGGTTGGAAAGAGGAACACTTTGTGTTTGCATGGGGTGGATCATTGGTGATGTTTCAAAAATTAAATTTTGGTCTGATAATTGGGCGGGAAATGGCCCATTGATCAATGAGATTAACCAATCAAGTGTTGAAAATTTGGATATGCCTGTTTACAATGTTATTAACCAAAATAGGCTGATTTGGAATGAAGAGCTCATTAGCTCTTTAGTTCCAGACCGAGTGTGGTGCCTTACAAAAACCAGTTCTATTTCCCTCTACCCATTTGGATGATCATTTTATTTGAAGATTCACCTCATCTGGTAAATTCTCGGTCAGCTCTGTTTACAAAGGGGAATGCAAGGTTAATGGAGTGAATGGTACGTTTGATAAATCTCTGAAATTTGTGTGGAATCTAAATCTTCCCCCTAAACTAAAATTCTTTATGTTCATGGTTTTAAGTGGGAAGCTCCCTACCAAAGATCATTTTCATAACAGAGGGTTAAATATTAATACCGAATGTTGTCATTGTGGCGAGGAGGAAAATATAGAACACCTGTTCCTAAAGTGTCCTTAAGGCTATCTATGGAAACAATGCAAATAGAGTGTAAATCCCGGTCCAGGGTAAATTTGCACTCTGGTTCACTTTTGCCTGTGTTTGGCAACATTGTATTTACGCATTGACAGATGACAGATCAATGCACATTTACATTGATAATAAGATGTAAAAGTACATCAATAAAAAAGAGTTAAATTTGTATTCAAGTGGGCTTTTGATAAAAAAAAGGCGTATGCTTTATTGGAATTTGTGTTTSCATCCATTACAATTAAAAGTCAGTTTGGTAAGAAGRTAAATTTGTCSGTGCAAAACTAACCCAACTTTGCAATTTATATGGACCATTTTACACTCTACATATTTGCATTCACACTTATTTGCATCATTTCCAAACACAACCTAAAGTGTTGGGGTCAAGCTCCCCGAGCCGAATGATTCTAACTAGTCATTTCGTTGTTGGTTGGAGTAGGAAAGGATGGCTATTGATTTAGCCAATTCGGATTTGAAAAAAGGAGAAAGTTTCTATTTTTCTTTGGTTCATTTTGAAGGTTAGGAATGAAAAGATTTTCAACAATATGATCCCCTGCCCTCAC